AGGGGAACAGTGACTCCCCCAGTGCCTTCTGATCCCCCCTGATCAGTTTGTAACAGGCCACAAGATCCCCCTTCAGCCTTCTCTTGTGGAGGCTGAACAGGTTCAGGTCCCGTAGTCTCTCCTCAAAGGGCCTGCCCTGCAGTCCCCTGATCATGCGAGTGGCCCTCCTCTGGACCCTCTCCATCTTGTCCACATCCCTCTTGAAGTGCGGCGCCCAGAACTGGATGCAGTACTCCAACTGCAGCCTGACCAGTGCCAGAGTTGTAAGAAACCAATGCCAGAGTGCCTGACCAGAGTTGGGTCGAAGTAATGTGCTGTTTATCCTCCTAAAGTGCTTTTTGCAGTGGGGGGGGGTAAGGGGGGTTAAACACCTGCAAGCAGCCTAAGGGTCTAATATAAAGCAAGCTAAACGGGTCCTTTGGTAAACCACATAACCACTAATGTTTTACTAGATTCTCAGTGGTTCTTACCTGAGTTACTTATTGAAAGAAAATTGATACAATATCCTGTTTGTAAGTTTGTTAAGAATTATTAGGCTGAATAATTACTAAATTAGCAAAGGATTAATCACTTATCAGAGAGACAGAGAGATCAAATCAAAATCAAATATAAGAAACTCAATGTATTAGTAAGGGTATTGAATTAATAGCAAATGATCAGATGAGTCATATTAGGAAATTAATGTAGCAGATAACTGAGCCTCATATATCCTAAACAGAATTCAAAGGAGGGAGCTATCTGCTTGGTTACATCCCAACTAAAGAACTTTTTCTCATAACGGTATAATCAAGATAAGCTGGTTTAATAATTTAGTGACCAGGCCAAATAACTGGTTATATCCAATTTACATCTTTAGAGTCATTCTAAGTCTGTTTCTTATGGTGTTGCTACACGTTAATTAAAATATGTGTGAAGGGTCCTTAAAGCAGTAATGTCCACCCATTAGAGCAGTAAACATGTGCTAAGGCAGGGGTGGGCAATTATTTTGGGCAGAGGGCTGCTTACTGAGTTTTGGCAAGCCATCAAGGGCTGCATGACAGGCAGCCCAGGGCAAATTAATATTAATTTTCTAAATTTTTTAAGGGCCCTGCAAGCCAGATAGAATGACCTGGCAGGCCACATCTGGCCCCGGGCCGCATTTTGCCCACCCTTGTGTTAAGGCCCCTCCGAGCAGCTCAGAGACAATCCTCTTCCATAGAGGATTATCTCTAACTGGTTTTGGGCAACTCATATTGCAGTCACATGTAACTGCTCCACAGGCCCAAAACCAGTTGAGAGGGATTCACCAGCATCCCAGAAGGCACTGTCCTACCTGCTCTATCTGCCACTGTCACTGTGGAGGAAGGAGCACCTATAAGTAAAAATCTCCCCTCCCATTTTGGGCTCCCCCTGCCTCTCATGGATCCCCCCATCCCCCTGTACTCCTGAGAGCTCTCCTTGTGCTCCCCTGGACCCAGGGCTCCCCCTCCAGCCCTGGCAACTCACCCCCATCCCATGTGTCCCCCAGCTCACCTGTGGCTGATGGTACTATCATGGGGGAGCAGGCAGGAAAGAGGAAATGGCTTGTCTGGCTGCTTCCACCACCACCACTACCACTACTGCCACAGCTGCTCTCATGGCTGAGCCCAACTGTCCAACTGCAGATGGATTCCCCTACCCTGCTGGGACAGTGCTGGCAGCCACAGGTAAGCTGCCAAGGAGCTGCAAGCTGGGATTTGGGGTGCCAAGGGGAGGCCGGGTGTGGGAAGGCCAAATCCAGGAGTGTGGGGTAGGAGATTGGGCCTGATCCAAGCCAGTAGGTGCAGGGCAGTACACTGCAGGTAGGCTTAATCTGGCAGGAGTAGTTCCCCCCCTCCCTGCCTCATCCCCCAGAGCAGGCACAGGGAAAGGAATCTCCCTGACCATCTCTACTTCTGCTTTCCCCATCCCCCGCTGAGCCCAGCAGGGATGGGGCAGGCAGGAACCGCTCTTGTGCTTCCCCCATCCCAGCACAGCAGCAGATGGGGGGAAGAAAGAGGGAAAGGGGATTTTCACTTCCTTTAAGGACTTTAAAAACATTCCCAAAGGTTCCTGTGGTATTGTCATATCCAAAAGGGGGGGCATAGCTGCATCATTGCAGCCTCTCAAGATCCACCCCTGCTCACGCTTATGTGCATATATTCTCAAACAGAAATTGAGATGTCTCCCGAGCTTCAGAGGCCCAAATGTTTTTAAGAAGTTTCAACCTTTTTAGCTGTCATAATCTTTGGGTTCACAGTGTCACTAGACCACTAATGATAGGACCAAATGAAATGATAACTGGGTCAGTGTTCTTACACTAACAGTTCTTCAGGTGCGGAGGGTGGTCAGGTGGACCAAGTTCATATTAATAATCTTCACCTTCTTCCTCCATATGTGTTTTGCCTTGGAAAGGAGGAGGAGTTTTCTCCTTCAGTTGTCTTTGCTTGTCTGAAAGGCTTTTTATTAGTGCAAACAACTTCCTACCAGGGAGCATTTTGGTAAAACATAATGATTAGAAGGTTACAGGACAATGACTAAAACTTAAGGAACTTGACCCCTAAAGACTGCTTGATGACAGAAGATAATATATACATGAAAGAAAGAATAAAGCTTCAGTATCACATTCTCTCATCTCTCTCTTTTCATGATCTTCCCTCTTATAATTGGAGTCCTCTTTTGTTCCACCTTACAAAACTCACTTTAATCACTTTGTGCAAATTGGGAGCTACAGCTGTGTGGACCAAGTTAGCTAAAATGATGCAATCTTTATGTTAACAAAAGTCTAAAAAAAATCCAACCAGGTATGACAATTTTCACAAGAGATCAGTCACTGCTTTGCAAAGATCAATTTGCAGAGATCAGTCATATGCTTTGCAGAGATCCAAAAAGAGTTGAGAGAAAAACCTAAGACTGGCTTTGTGGAAGTTGCCCTCATCCATTTTTGAAAGAGATGACCACAGCATGGCAGGCAACATCTAATGAAGGGCCTTAGCAAGCCCTAAGTAATTATCCAAAAGTAATTATCCAATTCTCTTATGTCCCTTCAATATTTCTTAAAACTAAATTTAAATATATGTAATAATATGACACACCAAAGACTTGGGAAATTTTCATTTAAAAGCCAACAAGGTAAAAGTTTATATTGTCTTCACTAAGTAATCTTCATAGTTTGTAATTCATCCAAGAGGAACATAACTTTAGTAAAGTCTTCTTTTAATGAAGGAAACAAGGTTAAAGTAACAACTGTTTTTGTTACATTTGCTAAATATAGCAAAACTAATCTACAGATGCATGCAAAAGTAACAGTTATATCATAAGCTTATAATCAATGTCATTTAATATCCATGCAATTGTTACACCTTTCGAGTCCCCTAGAAAGAAGAGTTATTTTAACATAGCACAACCATTATACTTCCCAAGTTCACCACGAAGACAGCCTGACTACGCAAATTTTGGAGTAATGTGGGACAACATAACATCATCTCCTTTCCTGTTATAAAATAAAGCCACATTTTGCCCACATGGGTGTAATCAATGGCAATCTAGGAATTATCTCTAAATGACATCAGTGTCACCTGATTATTACAGTATTGCACCACTCCTAAAAGTACTACACTGTTTTCATTATGCTTCAGCTACTATGTTCATTGTGCTGCACAGGGGACTACTTATAGAGCCATCGCCAATATGAATGACTGTTGAACTGCTAGATCTAATTGTACTGAATGTTTACCCTTATAACTTCCATAAATACAAAATCCATTTTATTTTCATTTTGAGGTACTTTTGTTTATTTATTATGGTGCTTTTTTAAAGAAAATAAAAGTAATATTACTGACATTAATTATTGCTATTTTTTTTCTAGATGTGAATGAAGATTGAAAACCAGAAAAATCAAGCATTTTAAGACAAGTATTAACTTCCTCATCTGGGTAGAAAAGGCAAAACAAACACCAATGATTCTTAACATACAAAAGAATAGGCTATTGTTTCTTGAAATGATACCGCTGTCTCAGTCTGTCAATTCCTTTTCTTTACTACCCTCAACCTACTGTATTTTTATTGATTTTCTTTTATATTGATGTTTTCTTGAAGCAGCTGAAATTTTTTAATTGCTGACAATTTTGTGTGCACCATGGGCTACATGAAGAAAACAAGAGAGAGCTATGTGAAAATCCAGATCATAAATACTATGTCATTATTTTATAATGATGACTGAGATGGATGGAGAGGAGTCACACCTGAGGAAATTTCCAGTGCTTATTTTATTGAGATTTTCCTTTCGGGTGGGCTCCTAAAAGGAAAGCTTTGGTGTGTTGGCAATGGTTCAAGTTAAAAGGCATGTCTGTTTTTTTTTAAAGTCAGTATCTAATGTTTAGTGTAATGTTACCTTGTCTCTTATCTGATGGATATGTATATATGTATATTATTCAAAATGCTTTTTTTGCATTAAATTGAGTTTCCTTTAGTTATACTCTGTGTTTCCAATGTTATTCTTTCAGAGGCTGTTTTCCATTAATTAAAATAGCAAATAATTCATGGGTTTTGGTTGTAGCCGCGTTGGTTTAAGGACATAGGCAAGCAAGGTTCTTTGAGTAGATGTGATATCTTTTATTAAACCAACTGATCAGTTGGGAAAAAATTCTTAGTAAGCTTTCAGGTGCAGTCACCCTTCTTCAAGCATAGGAAGTCTCTGCTGTTCTGAGTTTCCAAGGTAAATAGGTAGAAATTAGAAAAACAAAACAGTAAAGTGGGGGGGGGGAGGGGAAGAAGGGGGAAAAAGCCAAAGGTGAGTAAGGGAGACTCTACAGTGGCTGTAATACAAGGTAGAAAGGAGGCTGTCTGTGTAAAAGGAAATGGAAGACAAAGGGCAGAAAAGGAGGGTGGTGAGGGGAAAGAAAAAAAGGTGTAAAAGGTCTGGTTGGGCAGGTACCTGGTGAATCACATGTCAGGCAAGTTGTAATGTGTCATAAATCTAATGTCTATATTGAGTACATGTTTTTTGTATGC